TAGGCACCACCCAACATGGCACATGTATACATATGTAACAAACCTGCACATTGTGCACAGTGACCCTAGAACTTAAAGTATAATTTAAAAAAAAAAAGAAATTCTGCTGTGTGCTTATGAAAATGGATAATGAAGGAACAGAGCACCACCTCTAACTCTCAGCATAGAGATTCCTGGCCTTTACTCTGAGTGGTCATTCACTGACTTTGCAAATGCATGTCTTTCTCTTTTCCAGAACCTACCTCCAGTCAGCCTTCCCAAACTGGCTACCCAACCTCCACCTCAATCCTTCCCTCCTCTGCCCCAGCAGCCATGCTGTCCTGCTCTGCACAGCTGTCTGGTTTCTCTGAGTTACTTTGCTTCAGTGCCCTGCACCTGCAGTGGCAGATGGGTCCTGGGAGCTTCCTGACGACAGGTGCCCAGTCTCTAGGGCCCAGGGTGATTTACACATAGTGGATGCTTGCTCAGTACAAGAAGTGCCCTGGGCTGACTAATCTAGGAACGCAAAACAAACCACTATAACTGAATCAGTGCAGTACTTCCTGGAACAGAAGCTAAGCTGAAAACAATGGCTGTAACCTCACAAGAAGCTCCACCCTTCCTTCTGCTCTAAGTGAAAATCTAGGTTGAGGAGGGAAAAACCTGCCTCTTCTCCCTCATTTCAACCCCACATCCCATCAATTCTGTCGTGTGAACATGGTGGGCATAGCCCCACCCAGAGCTGGACCTAGGACCTGCCTGGTCAGCGATCTTGCCCTCCACTTTCTGGTGCCAAGTAGGAGAAAGGACTTTCCACTTCATGTGACTCTGTAAGCATGGTGTGTTACACTGCAGTCTCACTTGCTCGCTCTCATTTCTAACATGCCTGGAGGTACACACTTCTTTGAATTTGAATATACAGCACCCTTGGTCTAGAATGTCTCCATAGCAAACCCATACTTCTGTGAAAGTGAACCCACCAGTCACCTCTCCAGGGATTCTTTGGCACACTCCTAACTCCTACAGTTTGTGCACATTCTCCATCTATTATAGAAAAGAGCACATTGCACTGTATTTGTATATTGCTGTGATTGTAGTCCACAATAAACTGTACAACTCCTTTCAGATGATAATCTTCTCTGTTATCCTGTATCTCCAGCACCAAGTGCCATATCTGGCCATGGGGTAGGAGTGGGAAAGGAGAACCGCAGTCCAAGGGCCTCTGTGCAGTCAGGGGTCAATCAGAGGGCATAAAAAAGGAAGGACTGACAGACTTCATCCTTTCCAGTTTGTGCCTCTTGTCAGTGAACAAAGGTGAGGTCACTTAGGTGGTGGTAACCATAGCTGTGAAGGCATGGACTCGGAATCATTCCTCATGAATGTAAAAGTACCCAATCTTTTCATTTAAAAGTTAAATGTTCTTAACTGACCCACACAGGAAACATCACAGGAAATAATGTTTCAGTTCAGTCTTTGCTCCCATTCAACCACAATTTCAAAATAGTACAGATTCTCCTCAAGATTGAGAAAGCAAAACCTCTTTGTTTATCCAGCAGCTAGGAGTCTGCTTTTTCTCAGCTTTCTTCCAAAGCACATGCATAGTATGATATCTCTTATCTCCCATGGGAGTTCCTTAAGAGTAGGACTGTTTGCTAGATAAATATTCTCCTTCTACCTTTTCATCTCCCTCCCCCACAATTCCCAAAGCACAGTGCCTGGCCTCAGGAGGCACCTAACACTTGATTATTAAGTGTTTTTTCTTCTAAAAGCCACTTTTAGTGTCTTCTAAAAGTGTTTTAGACGACTGCTTTTTATTTTTAATTCAAGGCTCAATAAGCTCTGAGGTGTTTTGGGAATCTAGAACCCTCTCCCCTGTCCCCACCCCTCTTGGAAATCTAGAGCCCTCTGCCCTGTTCCCAACCCTCATTCTTAGATGGGTGGGTGTAGTCAAAGAGAACTTTCTCCTTTCTGCTCCAGGGCGTAATCAAGTGAAATTCTCACAGGTCTTGGAAGAAGAAAGCTCTTATATAGAGTTTCCTATGGTGGTCACAGAGAGTCAGGACCAAAGCTCTGCTATCATTTTGCTGAGTTCATGCAACCTCAGTCATTAGTTACAGCACATGATTGGAAATTACTGCAGTATCAAGTTTTGGGGATTGCATTTATACGTGCATCAGTGGTCACGTTTTGTACACCAAGGATAATCTGGAGAAATGCTGAGGATCACAATGCGCTTCCTGCTCCTTAAAAGCCAACAATCTACACGTCCTTTAGAGGTGTCTAACTTTCACCTTTTAAAATACAGTTACTGAGCACATCCTGGTGTTTTGATTTTTAGCCACCTTTCTATTTAGTGGCTTTGAAGAGTTACTAACTTAACTTTAGAAAATTTCTCAAATGAAAAAGAACTGTGTCTTCTAGCTGTCTTTCTAAAGACAGCTCTGGCTGTGGGTTATTTCCTCACTTTAAAATCACAAGGCCAATTTTCTGAAAACCAGAGCACACAGGAAATCTCCCCATTGTCATCTCGTAGAGAAAGCTCCAGGCATCAGGAATTACTACACAGAGTAATTCAAGCTCTGTAGCAATTAAGGCGTGTGAATGCCTCAACTCAGAGATTTAGATACCGGGAACCTGATTAAGTAAAAGCATTTCTGGCCTGATTGCCTTTGGGGATGTTACTAGTATCTTGCTAATCTGTCTTACTTTGTGCACTAAATATTTGCAAAAGAGAAGTTGCAGGAGATTTTATGGTTACTAACGAGGTATGTGGAGACCCCTAAGAATACGCCCTACCCCACATTAGACAGCAAACCAGGTTAAAATGTCATCAACCTTACCTTTTCCAGACACCGTTCCTCAGTCCTTTAGGCAGAATTTAGTGATTATCCTTGAGGTGGCTGAGACAAGGCTGGTAACACGGGTATCCGGGGCTATTTGTGTAAAAGGAGAAGTAAAGGGCGAAAAAATATGATCGTGCTGTGACGACAGGAAGCCCAGATGAGAAGAAGGAGGAAGTGAGGCTGAGTCCGCCCTCTTTCGCCTCAGAGACTCAGTCCTTCCCCAGTGGCTTTTTAGAAACTTCCTCCCACAGCCCACCCTAAACTAGTTTCGTGAAACAAAGGAAAACTTCATAACCAAGTTGGTTCAGGCACAGATCTCTGAGCAGTGGTGGATTCTAGGGTAATTTTGGCGATGATTTTTGCTTAGAAAAGGACAGTGCTTCTCAATCAAGGTGGCATCTCAGAATTAACTGTTTATTTGTTCAAAAATAAGCATGCCTGGCCCCACCACCAGTTTCCTATTCAGGTAGACAGACTGGAGGGGAACACAAGAAACAATATTTCTAAACATTTTCTAGGCCTGAGACTTCGGAATGTCTTTCTGAAGATTCTCTGCTCCCTCCTCACACTCCCTGTCTGGCTTCAGCCAGTCTCTAGACTTCAGTTAATTGGACACCATTTGCAGACTTCTCTGTCTCAAGAGCAAGATTGTCTTAAGGTGAGTCCCCAAGGCATAATCCCAGGGGCACTGGTAGAAATGATTTGGTTAGTACAGGAAACACCACATTTGGAGCCAAAGATCTGAGTTTCAGTTCCAGCTTTATCTCTTTTAGCCGTGAGATCTTGAGCAAGTCTCAATCTGTCAGCCTCAGTTTATTAATGGTAGCATCTAATAATAATCCTACTAGTTACTGTTACATCCTTATTTATATACAAGAAAACAGGGGCTCAAAGAGGTTAGAAAATTTGCCCAAGCTCATACAACTAAGACATGTCAGAGCTAGGATTCAAATTCCAGGTCACGGAGAATGCCTTTTGAGAAACGCTGTGATCAAGGTATTTTGAAAAATGTGTTTCTACTTTCACTATGCTGCATCACTGGAATTTTCTTAGACTGGGTCAAAGGAGTAGGTGACAACCCAAATACGTCACTAGCTAACTGTGAAACCTGGAAGCAATCACTGAGCCCCAGTGTTTTCATCTTATAAATGAACAGATAGATGACACTCTTTGTGATGCTGACTTGGAAGCATGCCTCTGGGAAAGCTAGCTGTCTCCCGCTTCCTTCACCCTGAGACATTCAGATCCAGAGTAATCTCCAGCCAGGGCTGTCTTGTGGAGAAAACTGAGTTAAATGATGGTAAAAAGGTATTTACTGCAGAGCTTGTCAGTCCTTAATATTCTCTAAGCAGGGGAAATAATATACAGATTTCCCCAAACTTATCTGAGCATCAACTCCGTGTGTGTGTGTGCGGTTTCTCTGTGTGTGTGTGTGTGTGTGTGTGTGGTTTCTGTGTGTGTGTGTGTGTGTGTGTGTGTGGTTTCTCTTAGGGAACAATTTTTTCAGTGTGACTACACTTTAGGGAATGCTATTAAAAACGTTCTGCTCCTCAGCTGGAATCACTGCCCGTCACTCAGAGCTGCTGCCATGCTGACAGATCCCTGAAGTGGTGGGGCTGAGAAGAGGCTTCTGTCTGAACTCATATTTTCCTAGTTATCTCACCCATTCTGATGACTCTAATTACTCTGTCTGTTCCAAAGATTCACAAATCTGTATGGATGCCATGATCTCTCATTTGAGCTCCACTCTCTCCCAGGCACCTCAAATCCAATATCCAAATTCAGTTTGATGAACTTGGCATCCCCACACTCAAGCCTGCTCCTCCCACCATGTCCACCATCTAGGAAAGATCTGACTGGCCTTTCAGCCACGTTCATGAGAAACCAGGTATCTTCTTAAGCTACTCTGTCTCCCACACCACCACCTATTATCAACCACCAAGTCCTGTCAACTATGCTTTTACCTAAATATTTCTCAAACCAGACCACCTGTTTCCAACCCCATAGACGTTACATTAGTCCTTATCTCTTACCTGTGTTACAGGATGCCAGTCTCCTTCAAGACCAGCTTGGACGTTTCTTCACTCCGTCCTCAGGAAGAAGGGAGGAGAGCCTTCTAAAATGCAAATTTAATCACATGACTCCCCAGCTTAAAACTCTCAGCTGGCTATTTCTTCCCTGGCCCCACCCCAGAGATCTCCTCACACTGGATAACACTGGATGTGGAATTCCTTTGAGTTGCTTAAACAGATCAGTCTAGTTCTGTCTCATGTGTTCTCTCTAGAATATCCTCTCACCTGTTCACCTAATTCCTTACTCATCCTCCATCATAGCACTAGAAAGCCCTCCAGGCAGGGCCAGTTACTCCTGCTCTCTGCTCCCATTGCCCACAGGCATCCCTCCACCCTCTGTCATTCCTTGTTTTTCATTGTTTTTCCCCACTAGACTCAAAGCTCTGTAGGTTCTGTGTTACTCTGTATATGTTAGGTGATCTTGCTCATGACTGTATTTTTAGTGCCTGGTATTGGGTCTGGCACGTAAGAGGTGTTCTATAAATATTTCAATAGTTTCAGGTAATGTGAGGCCTGAAAGTTAGGGGAACCAGAATTTTGGGACAGGCAGAGAGAGTAAGGGGAAAAAACAGATAGGTAGACTGAACGTCTGCAGAGGCAGAAGTGATAAATAAGGGGGAATCTTAGGAATATCAGGAAGACTATCTCAAGACAAATTGTTCACAGCAGTATAGATGACCATTTTAATGGAGAACATTTTTCCTTAAATGTGCCTCTTTCCATCATTTCACTGGGAAGAGTTGTTCAAAGTGCCAGACAACTAGAGGTGGCTGTTTCCTGGGATTAGGGGTTTGGTAGAGAACAACATGCCCACTTATACCCATACCTATAAGATTTTATTGAGAATTAATTCTGTTTCTGACCATCAAATACTTAGAATTCATTTGCAGGGACAAGAACAAAAACAACTGGAGAATAAGACAATGTCAGGGAACTCCATGTTATTGAATAACCCAAAAGAATGCTCAAAAACTTTGAACAAACTAGTTTAGAAAATGCATTTAGCAGAAGCTCAGACTCATGGCTTGATCTTCTCAATACAGGGTATATTGATCACCATCATAGATGATAATAGAACCTGAGAGTTTAGGAAACTTGAACTTGGCCAGATGAATAGTGGGAATACAAATTATGAGTACTCCACTATTATGCAGTTCGTACTGGCCAAAATACATTCTGAATAGACAAAACCTCTTATGGACATTGTGAATTGAGTCCCCATTTAGACCTTTTTCAAAAGCCTTCTAAGTGAGTAGTTCTAACTGTTTTATTATTGGAAGATAATCACTGTTGAAATATGAGAATACAGATAGAACTTCCAAGTTTATTTCAGAGTTATTTAAGTACATAAGGATATTAGAGTTTAGGAGGCATAGATTTTGTGAGAATTATAAGATTGGAAACTTCAAACGAGAGATTAAAGTTAACTAGTAGTACATTGGATTTTGTTTATGGGCTCTAAGAGTAAAGTTTTGAAGAAAATGTAATAGAACATCATTCTTAACTTTCATTTTAGGTTCAAATGTACATTTGCAGGTTTATTATATAGGTAAATTGCGTGTGACACGGTTTTGGTGTACAGATTATTTCATCACCCAGGTGATAAGTGTAGTGACCAATAGGTAGTTTTTTTATCCTCTCCCTCCTTCCCTGCTCCACCCTCAAGTAGGCCCTAGTGTCTGTTGTTCCCTTCTTCGTGCCCATGTGTACTCAGTGTTGACCTCCCATGTATAAGTGAGAATATGTGATATTTGGTTTTCTGTTCCTGCATTAAATTTTTTAGGATAAGGCCTTCTACCTGCATCCATGTTGCTGCAAAGAACATCATCTCATTCTTTCTTATGACTGAATAGTATTCCATGGCATATATGTACCACATTTTCTTTATCCATTGATGGTCATTTAGATTGATTCCATGTCTTTGTTATTGTAAAGAGTGCTATGATGAACATACACATGTATGTGTCTTTATGATAGAACAATTTATGTTTCTTTAGATATGTACCCAGTAATGGGATTGCTGTGACAAAAGGCAGTTCTGTTTTATGTTCTTTGAGAAATTTGCAAACTGTTTTCCACACTGGCTAAACTAATTTACATTCCCACCAATAGTGTATAAGCATTCTCTTTACTCTGAAACCTCGCCAACACTTGTTATTTTTTGGCTTTTTAATAATAGGCATTTTGACTGGTGTGAGATGGTATCTCACTGTGGTTTTGATTTGCATTACTCTAATAATTAGTGATGCTGGGTATTTTTTCATATGCCTGTTGGCTACATGTGTGACTTCTTTTGACAAATGTCTATTCATGTCCTTTGCTCACTTTTTAATGGAGTTGTTTAGTTTTTGCTTGTTAATTAGTTTAACTTTCTTATAGATTTGAATATTAGACCTTCGTCAGAGACATAGTTTACAGATATTTCCTCCCATGCTCTAGGTTGTCTGTTTACTCTGTTGATAGTTTCCCTTTCTGTTCAGAAGCTCTTTGGTTTAATTAGGTCTTATTTATCAATTTTTGTTTTTGTCACAATTGCTTTTGACATCTTCATCATGAAGTCTTTACCAGGGCCTTTGTCCAGAATGATATTTCTTAGGTTATTTCCCAGAGTTTTAAAAATTTTAGGTTTCAGATTTAAAATTTCATCCATCTTGAGTTGATTTTGGTATATGGTATAAGGAAGGGGTCCAGTTTCAATCTTCTGCACATGGATAGCCAGTTAGCCCAGTACCATTTATTGGATATGGAGTCCTTTCCATATTGCTTGTTTTTGTCAGTTTTGTTGAAGATCAGATGGTTATAGGTGTGCAGCAATATTTCTGGGCTCTCTATTCGGTTCCCTTGGTCTATGTGTCTGTTTTTGTATCAGTGCCATGCTGTTTTGGTTATGATAGCCTTGTTGTGTAGTTCAAAGTCAGGTAACATGATGCTTCCAGCTTTGTTCTTTTTGCTTAGGATTATCTTGGCTATTTGGGCTTGTTTTTAGCTCCACATGAATTTTAAAATAGTTTTTTTCTAGTCCTGTGAAAAATAGTGTAGGTAGTTTGATAGGAATAGCAGAGAATCTGCAAATTGCTTTGGGCAGTATGGTCATTTTAACAATATTGACTCTTCCAGTTTATGAGCATGGAATGTTTCCCATTTGTTTCCGTCATCTCTAATTTCTTTGAGCAATGTTTTGTAATTCTTATTGCAGAGATCTTTCACCTCCCTGGTTAACTATATTCCTAGGTACTTTATTCATTTTGTGGTGTTTGTGAATAGGGTTGCATTCTTGATTTGGTTCTCAGCTTGGAAGTTGTTGATGTATATAAATGATACTGATTTTTGTACATTGGTTTTATATATGTTGAAACTTTACTGAAGTTGTTTATCAGATCTAGGAGCTTTTGAGCAGAGACTATGGGGTTTTCTAGGTATAGAAGCATATTGTTGGCAGAAAAGGATAGTTAGACTTCCTCTCTTCCTATTTGGATGGCTTTTATTTTTTTCTCTTGCTTAATGGCTCTGGCTGGGACTTCCGGTACTATTTGAATAGGAGTGATGAGAGTGAGCATCCTTGTCTTGTTGAAGTTCTCAAGGGGAATGCTTCCAGCTTTTGCCCGTTCAGTATGATGTTGGT